GGAGGACTAAAAAATATTGGGGTGTTTTATGATTTGGCGCGCTCATAAAAAACCGGAACGCCAACCCAATTCATATAAATTTTTAATGAATATTTGATATTTTGGTTGACGTCACATGACATGAGCCATCCATTAGAAATTTGGCATTTATCATTTGAAAATTCCATTGACGATGTTATTAGGGTTTAACAAATTTATTTTTACATTATATTTTATTAGTTCTTTTTTTTTTTTTTTTTTTTTTTTTTTTTTTTTTTTTTTTTTTTTTTTGGTTCTTCCATGCTCATTCATTTGGATCCATTTTCTTATGATGTTCTTTCTAGTTTGTATTTTCTTGGTGTAATATGTAATATTTCACTATGCATACCTTTTGTTTTTGTTGGAACACTATGCATACCTTATTAAAATGTCCACTCATTGCATAGACTAGAATATGATCATGGGAGAGAACTAATGTAAATGTAATATTTAATTCACGTGATGTATGGATTAACGTGTCAATCAATACAAAAAGAAAACTTTTGATTGAATTGCAAGGCATGAATCACATAAATGTGTGAATCGTTGCAAAAGATGAGATATATCGTTAAAATAAACAAAAATTAACGTAATAACTCAAAACCTTACATTTGTTTCACACGATGCGCTTCTCTCCAACCCTAGTCCCCCTCTCTAAAAAAAAGTTTTTCATCCCCTCTCCTTTCTTTCTTTCCTTCTACTCTTTTTCCTCCCATGTCTGCTAATCATCTATCCCTCTCCTATATGAGAGTTTAATTTTCTTGTTCATGTTTGTTTGTGGATGTCCAACCCTTATTTTTTCCCAATCGCAATCCTACCGTCACATCCATACCTTTGTCCCTCCCCTCGCTACTGAGTGCTCCACCAACTTCTCCTCCCTCTTGCTTGTCCCCCTTCTCATTATAGATAATGTTTGTGAAATGGTCTTTTTAAATCCATTTGTTTGACCATATGAGTATGTATTGGTTTCGCCCACATTCTAGATGGTCAGTCTCTTCGGGTGTCTTTACGAGCCTTTATTCTGGTGGTTTTCACGGTGGTGCTGATCTTGGCGGCAGCAATGACAACAGTTGATGGTTAAAGATGACCTTATTTGACAGGGTCAGAGTTTGTAGTAATTTTAGACTTTGTTTTTGTGTTTGGTTCAATTTGTTTTATTTTTCTTGAGTTTGTGATGTATTTTGAGCTAATTAAGGCGCTTTTCCTTTCTGTCTAATAGGTGTCATCACTTTATTAGTGTTTCAAAGTCCTAGCAACTCCATACAACCAAATTTTTACACGAACAAGATTTCAGACTACTTTTTATCTCTCAAGGCTGCAACTGTATGATTATTATGTTACCCCTAAAATCAATCTTGGATGCATCTGTCATTATTTGTCTTTGAAACAAAAAGAAACATAGTACATTAATAAATATAAAAGTAATGTTCTTGAGACCTCTATGCAATTGTTAAAGTGGTTGCTAATATATTCCTACATCTTCTTCTTGGGAACCAAACTAGCACATAGCTGCATCCATATGTGTCTCTGAATTTCTTTTTTTGCGTATCTTTCTTCTGTGTGATTGGCTATTGCACTTGGACAGGTAGCAGCTAAGGAGGTGGGTTGTACATCTCAAAATAAATCCGATAATAATCCAATCCAATCTAAATCTGATGTGTAACAGATATGGATTGATAGATGCAATTTGATAGTCCAAATACGATCCAAATACGATGATATGATTATAAATGAATTAGGATTTGGATTGAGGTATATTCGACCCGTTTACAAGTCTAGTGGTGAGGTGAACATGTCATTTGGGAGAGAGTAGAGAGAGAAGAGAATAAGGCTATAGAGGGAAAGAGACTAAAAAGTATATAAATTTAAAACGTATAGCCGCGCGGCTATATGTTTTAAATATTCGAATACTTAAACCGTATAGAGGCACGGCTATACATCTTTGAATATTTAAATTTTATAGCCGCGCGGCTATACTGTTTGGGAAAAAAAAATTTGGCTACACTTTTTAGTATTTGACTATTTGAATAGTATAGCCGAGCGGCTATACCTTTTTTTTATATATGTTTTTTCCTGACTTTATAAATGGATATTTAAATAATATAGTCTGGCTATACTATTTTTATATAGTTTTTTTTCATGACTTTATAAATGGATATTCGAATATATTTAAACAGTATAGCCCTATGTCTTTTTTTTTCTTTTATGAATATGTAAATAGTATAGCTCTAAGTCTCTTTCCCTCTCCCGCCTTTTTCTCTTTTTTCTCCGTTCTGTCCTAAATGATATGTTCACCTCACCACTAGGCCTGTAAACGAGTCAAATTCGGATCGGATATACCTCAATCCAAATCTGAATCCATTTATAATCCTTTCTTAGGGCTATACTGTTTAAAAAGTATAGATATATTCGAATATTTAAATGGTATAACCGCTATACGTTTTTTTTAATAAAAAAATTCCTGACTTTAAAGAAAACCTAGGTTTTATACCTAACTACAAACAAGTATATACCAATCAGAATCATTTCTTTCTTGCTCTAGAGAATTTCATCTCTTTCTTCCTATCTCCATTTCCTCAGAATTCTTTCTTTCCTTCCCTTTTCTTCAATCAACCAATCAACCAAGGTCTAGTGGTGAGGTGAACATGTCGTTTGAGAAAGAGCGAAAAGAGAAGAAAATAAGGCTGGAGAGGGAAAAAGACTTAGGGCTATACTGTTTAAATATATTCAAATATTTAAATAATTTAGCCCCACTGTTATACTGTTTTGAAAATATATTTATAAAAAAATATAGTCGTGTGGCTATACCTTGCGAGATAGTATGCCACTACTAGTGACGCCACTAGCTAGATAGTATGTCTATTTTATAGTTGTAATTAATTGGGGATTTACTGAATCACTGGCAATGTCGTCTTTGCATACATACTCTGGTCTCACATGTTTGCTGTTTCAAGGAATAATGATATCATTATAACTATTGTTACTTATGGACAGTACTTAAAACTAAGAGGTCGTTTGGTACTGCGGACTATCATGAACTAGACTAAATTATGAGATTGTCTTGGATTAGCTAGAAATGGGCGAAGCTAGATTAAGTAATGACCTACATTTGGTGATGCGCCGGACTAAGAAGCTGGATTGTAAAAATAGTGAAGACCTATGTTTAGTGCCGTGTGTCGGACTAAAAAATAATTCTTATAATATTTAAATTTAATTGGGGTTTTTTACTTAAAAATTAAATAAAGGCTACAAAGAAACCCAATTCAAATATTTATAACAATATATGGCACCCAAAAAAAATATTTAAAACAATAATAAAAAGAAAACAAATAAAATTCTATTTTTGTATGAAGAATAAAATTATGATATTTACTTTTTGGCTTCTCAAGATTAATCTTAGTTGGTCGAAACATTGTTAAAGGAGCTAAGCTCACTCTCTATAATTCTACATTTTTCAGGGACCAAGTAAAACAATAATTATATATATATTTGTATATTTGTATATTTGACTTTAGACTTCAAACTGGAAAATATAATTTGACAAGGTAAAAATTGCTTGCGATAAAGAAAGCATCATATCATGAATTATTAAACTTGTTTCAATATCAAAAAAATATCAAACACTTGTAAACTATTATATTTTGATTTTCCAAAAGCAATATCAAAATAATTATTGTAATAATTAAATTTAATTAAGGATTTTTATCTCAAACTAAAAAAATGTTCCACACAAAAAACATTCAAAGATCTAAAACAATAATTAAAAGAAAACAAATAAAATTATGATAATTTTTAAAGAGAGACGTCTGACTCACGTGTTATATTTAGCGAGCGTACTATTTAACAAACCACTTTTCAGACTCACTATATTTTTGTAAAAGTGCAAGTTGGTCTACGAAAATATTTACAAACAAAGAAAATGACCCTACTCGATCGGCTACCTCTATCCAAAATTAATTTACTTTACTTGCATTTATTAATTTAGAGATAAAGGGGCTTCAATTTTCAAAAACTAGTTTTGATATGAAAAAGTCATATCTCATCTCTCCTTCATATATGCTTCTTATTTGAGATATATTATTATATAAAAGGCTTTGCTTAGACCACGTCATGCATAGAGGGACAAGAGCCTGTGTGTCCACACCATCCCCCTACACAAAATGAGGCACAAAAACAACCAACGCTCCCCTCTTCCTCTCTTTCTGCCCGTTCGCCACGAATATTAATTATATGCATTTCACTCACTCATCGTGCACCTACTCTCTTATTACAATCCATCAAAATTCTGATTCCTTATGAAATACCACAAAAGCCCATTCCATTTAATTACATATATATGTATGTAATTTACAAGCATTTTATAACTCGAGTAGTTGAGAACAGTTATCTTTATATTCAACGTGTCATGTGTTCAAATCCCCCTATTACTTGTGTAAAATATATTTAAAAAAACACAATTGTATTGTAATTAATCCGGAGTAAATTAAAGTTACTTGATTAAGCACATCACGTATGGTACTGTACAATCAATTAAACCTCCCTTCCCTTCCTAGAGTAACGTATGACACACATGTATTTGATTTCAAGTACTATAACTAGCAGATTATCTTCAACTTCTTCTAAGCAATTTGGCAAATAAAACCACTAGCTAATTCTATAAAAAAAATGTGTTGGTGGTGGACGACTACAATGGCATTATAGTAATTTGAAGAATTGATTCTATGAAGCAGGAAACAAAGAAAGTTGATTACAAAAAAAGACAGATGGAGAAAAATCAAATGATTTGACAATCGGAAGCTAGCAAAGCGACCCTATCTACTTTCGCTCGTTATGAATTATCCACATCTCCATGGAAGTCCCCTTTACACTTAGGCACTAGCATAGTTATGGGAGAAGAGAACACAGCGCCTTTGGATCGATGCATGCTAGCTCGTTATGAATCAAACATCTCTCCACCACTCTAATTGATATATGAATGGGAAATGAAAAGCGTCTCCTCACAATTCAATTTCCCAACCCAAGAAGCAAACGAAAAAGAAACATCATCATCGGGAACTTGTGAATGGGATTTCAATCTCTCAACAATTGTGTCTTCAAGAGGCGGCTCCACCGGAGGAGCCGTATCAAACACCATCGGCGTGATCGAGTTCGACCCATCAAACGCCGTCGTAGCCACCGGCGGAATCGCAAGAAAAATCAGAGTTTACAACTTCAACTCTCTGCTACCCAGTGATCGATTTTGCCAAGCCAATTTGTTAGACCACGTCACTGCATGCGCCTACACTCTGTGCACCCCAGCCAAGCTCAGCAGCCTCCGTTGGCGACCCGGATCCGACGGCCGGGTCCTCTGCTCTGGAGACTACGACGGCGTCGTCACGGAGTACGATCTCGAAACGCGCCTCCCCGTCTTCGAGCGCGACGAGCACGGCGGGCGCCGGGTCTGGAGCGTCGACTACTCCCATTCGGATCCGGTTCTTGGAGCATCCGGCTCCGACGACGGGACGCTCCAGATGTGGGACCCCCGCTGCGACGGCGGGGAATGCGTGGCTAGTGTGCAGCCCAGCGAGGCGCGTAATCCGGTCTGCTGCGTGGAGTTCGATCCTTTCGGTGGGGCCTTGGTGGCCGTCGGATGTGCGGACCGGAGGGCGTACGGGTACGATATGCGGAAAATGGTGGACCCGGTTTTGGTCTTCGACGGGCATAGGAAGACCGTGACTTATGTCCGGTTTATCGACGGGTGTTCGGTGGTGACAGCTGGCACGGACGGGTGTTTGAAGCTGTGGGATACGGAGGATTCGCGGGAGATTCGGACGTACAAGGGGCACACAAATAATCGGAGCTTTGTCGGGTTATCGGTATGGAGGAATGGGGAGCTAATCGGGTGCGGGTCGGAGGATAATAGGGTGTATGTGTACGATAAGAGGTGGGGCGAGCCCATTTGGTTGCATGGGTTTGGAGCGGTGGGTGAGGGTAGTAGTGGTGGGTGCGATGAGGAGCTTGGGTTTGTGAGCAGCGTTTGCTGGAGACAAGTTGGTGAGGAGCAGTGCACACTTATCGCTGGCGGGTCGGATGGGGATTTGCAGGTTTTTTCGGGTAGAAGAAAGCCATTAATGTTGGATTATTAGCATTTTAACAGCTTTCATCTCCCATTATCCTACTCCAAATATTCATTTTGCTGAAAATTCAATTAATTGTTGCATATGGAGAGAAGAACTACTACGTTTAGCAGAAATTAATAGAAAAACTAGATGCCATTTTGGTTTTGTTCAAGTTATTTGCAATTAATTTTCTTCACTTGCATATCCATGCAGCCAATATTTTCTCTTTTTTTTGGGAATTATGCAGTTTTTGTTTTTGTTTTTTTTAAACGAGCAATAATCTAAACTACAGGGAGGGAGATTTTCTTACACACACACCCCCAAATTGTCATGATAGTTTGAATATGAGACCACTTGTCTACAAGTAAAAGCTTTTTTTTTCACTAAGCTAGACCCGTTGGGGTTTGTATATGTTATCTCATAAACATGTAACGTCCTTATTGCATGGCATTACTGAAAAATGATAACAGCTGGCATTTTGTGAAGAAAAAAAATACTGGCATTTTGTGACTCTAATAAATAAAGTTTATGTCTGTAGTGAGCAGGAGATGGCTCACGTGTTCGTTTGGATAACATGGTGGTTGCATCGAGAGAGTTTGGCAAGTTTTTATTCGATGCCAATATTTTAATTAGGGTTTTGATCATTAAGTACTTCTTTGTGAAGTTAAACAGTTTACTGGATTTGATAACCTTCTTCTAAGAAACAAAAGGAATAATCTTAATTTTCTTGAATTGTTCTTTTCTCTTTATTGTGCATAAAATAAATTCACTAAATATAACTCAATAGTTTTTTCTTTTTTGGGCGGTGAAGAGGCCAGTTTATTAGCCGAAAGATATGGTGGTTTGAGGGGAAATCCCCTGGAACCAAAGGAAATTGCAGACGGTTGGTGGAGTGGTCCCTTGAGTCGAGAGAGAAGATGAGTATTCATGACAGTTCTTTTTGCTAAAGATTTACTGGTTTTCTACTTTTTTAGTAAGTAATATAACTCAATTGATGCTTATTTTATCGCATTTATAGTTTGAACTTTGAGGAGACTATGTTCAAATGTCGCAAATGAAAATAATTGCTCGTCTAAATTGGAAACAAGCTCGTACTGATAAATTATTCTATATGACAATGATGATATAACCTATGCATCGGTGGCTCTGAGATTTTAGGAGCGTTGTGCCAAAACAACAAGAGGGCCTCCTAAAATAAATTCTTCAACAAAAAATTATAAAAAAGAATCAAACTATATAGTCAAAATCTTGTGATCATCAAAATACTAATTATCAATAACCAAGAAAAAAAACAATAATCTACAAAATATAGGAAAAACATAACTTGAGAGAGAGAGAGAGAGAGAGAGTTGAGTGATTGAAGGCTGAAGCTTGAAAAAAAAAAACAGATGCAAGCAGCTGGAAAAAAAAAGTGCATACAAAGTTGTATGTTGGATGTCTCTTATATTGGGCAACACGAAAATAGGAGTAGGAAAATCAACATTAATATTATCCTATTAATACAAGAGAAGCCAAAGCAATCGATACCAATATAATAAGGATTCAGATTCTTTTCTCTGATTTTCTCTGCCATGATATGCTTTACTTTTGTTCTCTATACGTCACCTCATTAAAATTTAATATAAGGGATTTAAAAGTTGACACATCATCCTAAAACAAAAATCCAATTTACTCTTAATTCAAAAAAGAAAAGAAAAAAAAACCTAACACCAAACTAACGGGATATTTAATGTCTAAAGCTGTTTTTTTTTCTTCTTCGTGTTTTGTCCTCTTTTTTTTTCTCCTTCTTCTTTGTGTTCTTCTTCTTCTTCTTCTTTGTGTTCTATCATGTTGAAAGACAAATCTTTTTTCTTCTTCTTTTTGTTCTTCATCAACCAAACAACGAACATACACTTAATAATTATTTGATTTCTCAAACTTTTGGACAACAACTAGTTCCACCTTTGATCGAATTTGACATAATTCTTGGTCTTCTACATCTCTCATCAGCTTTACCCCCGGTGAAAGTAAATATATAGAAAAAAAAAATAGTTGGAACATACGAATAATATCAAAATATTAATTAATCAGTTAAAAGTTTAAAACTAAAACATGAAAAGAAAACAAAAACTCTCATTTCTCTCATATTGACCCGGATGCAGGCGCGCCCACCCAACCACTCTCTCTCTATCTCACCACGACCATAACCTTGCTCCAATTTGATTGGAGAGAACGATGTTTATTGCCTTTTGTGTCAAAAGTATATAAAATATATGTTATTTATTTCTAAAATACACTTGCTATATTCTCTACATTTGGATTGTTTTTTAATGATGTGCCAACATTACAGTGAAAGTAAAGCAGATCATGGCAGAGAAAATCAGAGCACAGGATCCGAATTCATATAATAAACTCACATCAATAAAATAATATTTAGTATGGGGGCAAGCTTTCCTTATTTTGTAATGAAAGACAAATGAAAAGTGAATATTAATTAAATGAATATCGTTACTAGGCTACAACAACATATTAATGTAAATTAATATTTAATATGGGCCCCTTCAAAATGGGCCTTGTTTGTTCACTCACTTTGTCAGTACTACATGTCATATACGGTATGTGAATTAAGAGTAATGCTAGAGACTAAAATTGTATACCAAATTTGAGTTTCAAATGATATGGCACATGTCACACCGTAAATGTTTAATTAACCAATTCCAACTTAATTATGATTTAGTTAATTTATTTTAGGAAAAAATAATAATTTAAACTTACTTAATCAAAAGCCCTACAGCCAACCCTAAAGACTCCAACTTTGTGGCCAGCTATTATTTTTTGGGTTTTTTTTAATAGAAATTAAATGGTGTATGGTTTATTTATAGTTTTAGTGCTAAAAATGGGTATATGACTAAATATCTCTTCTTTCAAACTCTCTTAGTGTAAGATCCGATGTGCATATACAGACAAGCTAATGGAGTCAAAATTGAATATATACATAGGCTACTTCAACATCAATATATAGAGAAATTCAGATGCCATAGAATTAGCTTATGTATATATGCGACAAGTCTTCTCTTCCATTCAATCACTTTATGTGGTATAACTCATCAACCTTCTCTTCCCATCATTAATTCCCAATATCCTACATTATCTTCATGGAGTCACAATGGAACCGAATTTTCATGCTAAAGTCTTAAATTTAGATCCTTGTTTTCAAGATGAAGATGATGATGATGATGGTAAAAGTCTCAAATTTTGATCCTTATTTACAAAATGAGGACGATTAGAGCCAATAATGGAACAATGACAAACTAAATTGTTTAGGGTTGCAGAGTTTTCCTTTTTTTAATTTTCATTTTAGAGTAAACCAACTAAATTATAATCTAATTTGTAATTATTATTTAAATATTTATGATGTAGCATGTACTATCTTTTTCTCCCTAATTTGAGAGTCAAATTTAATGTAAAAATTTATTGTCTCTAGCATTACCCGTGAATTAATAACGATGTGTTAATGTGACCATCACACATTTTTCCTGCCCATAAGAGTCAAAAGTCAAAACCAACATCGATCACCGTTGGATTGGAGTCAATGGAGACGTGGAAGACTTTATATGAGATTCGACGGGGGAAGATGAGTCGTTGATTTTGGAAGTTCACAGATTTAGAGTGTTAAAACGAGGGCGCCAGGGTAGAAGTAAACTGTAGAATCCTCCTTGTCGTTCTCGTTTCCAATTAAACTAAACCCTGCCTTTGATTTGGGTTTTGGGTAGCTCCATTTCTTCCGAGCAGCCTAGAAACTGAAAGGAGGGTTGGGATTTTCAGAGAGAGAGAGAGAGAGAGAGAGAGAAGAAAAAAATGGTGACGTCGGCGGTGGTGAACACGTACCCACTGTCGAGCTACACGTTCGGGACCAAAGAGCCCAAGATGGAGAAGGATACCTCCGTCGCTGATCGCCTCGCTCGAATGAAAATCAAGTATGCCTTATTTTTGAAAATTTATTTACTCTTTTCAATTTGTTCCAATAGTTTTTAGATTTTGAAAGTTGTTTAGGCTCTAAACCCTAGTTTTTTCATTTTGGTGTGTGAATCGGCAGCTATATGAAAGAGGGAATGAGGACCAGCGTCGAAGCGATTTTACTGGTATGTGATTTGACTCAACAACCCCCCTTCTTCTCGTAATTTCCTTTTATTTTTTTTATTTGTTATAAATAGGAAAAAAACTTGTTGCATTTCATTTTATTATTTCTTGTTCAATTGCACATTAAGGGCTCTTGAGGTCATGCCTTCCTTGCTATACATGGATTTTTGAGCTAAATAACTCGTGCATCATTCATTGAATGAGGAATTAATGTTTCACACATGGCACCAGCTCGATAGGAATTTTCTTTTATCAATGGAGCACAGCAAGGAAGGAGAGTAGGATTTGTTTGTTTCATGGTCTCTGATAAAAGGATATAAAAGTACTTACCAATGGGTATTAGGTATCATTCTAGCTTTTTAGTTCTTGTTATGTTTTCATGTTCCACGTTCTCGAAATTGTAGATGTTATCGCTTGGATGGACAGAAATTAGACACGAACTTGATTTAACATTTTCATTCTTTCCCTGGCCTCAACGTATGTCTACACTGTGCAGGTACAGGAACATAATCATCCCCACATACTTCTCCTGCAGATTGGGAACACGTTCTGCAAACTTCCTGGTGGACGACTCAAGCCAGGAGAGAATGGTATGACCTTACCCTGTTTTCCATCCTTTTCATGGTGCATTCATTTTCCTAGTTCATATTTTTGAAGACTGACGCCTGTTCTCTTTTGGTTTCTTTGTGTTGATGGGTATCTTTATGTTGCAGAAATTGAGGGGCTGAAAAGAAAGCTGACTAGCAAGCTTGGCGCTAATTCACCTGCCCTTGTGCCAGACTGGCAGGTACTACTCTCTGATTTATTATCAATTTGAGTATAGATGTGAGAAAGATTTTAGAAGCATTTAGGGCTAGAGGAAAACACATGACATGAGAAGTATTACTTGGAAGTGAGTTGACTTTAAGTGTGAAAAGGTAACGACAAATGAATGGAAGTTCCAACGCAACCAAAAATGCAATATAGCTAGACATTTAGCCTTTTCTATGTGCTTGTTCAGTGATCTGTTTCATCAAAGTGAACTTGGTTTATGAGGAGTTGTAGCATGTCAATTTCACAGTGCCACTAATTCTGTTTGAAAACTGGAACTTGGAAATTATGGTCAATACTCATTACTTACCTTGTCCCTTTGGTGCAGATTGGAGAGTGTGTGGCTATCTGGTGGAGGCCAAACTTTGAAACCATAATGTATCCATATTGCCCTCCTCACATAACAAAACCCAAGGTAAATGACTATCAAAAAGATAAATCTTGGGCTATTGTTTCTGTTGACAGCATCGTTGGGCTGCATATGATAATCTCCTTCCCTCTCCTTTCCACGCACTGATTTTTTACCGACACAAAACTTTTTTATTTACCCAGTTTTGGTAATGCAGGAGTGTAAGAAGCTTTTTCTTGTTCACTTATCTGAGAGAGAGTACTTTGCAGTCCCAAAAAACCTGAAACTTCTTGCAGTTCCATTGTTCGAACTCTATGATAATGTTCAGGTAGTGTGATCATATCACAACCTTCTGCTTTCCTACTTCATATTGGAATTTGAATTTGACTTGTTTTCGTTGTGAATTCTAAGTCTTTTAAAAAAAATAGGTTTGCTGCATCAGAAACTGTTCAGAATTATGATTCATGAGCTTTATATAATTACTTCTTACGATCGGCCTTGCCCTGATCCCCTTTTTTTTGTAGCCTAAGATAACAACCATAAACGTTTTCTTCCTCTTACTAAATCTTAATTTTTGCCTCTATTTTCTCATGGTATTCTTCTCTTAATTGCAGAGATATGGGCCTGTCATATCTACAATTCCCCAGCAGCTTTCAAGATTCCAATTCAACATGATCAGTTCATGAAGCGAGGAATTTTGAAATTACCCTGAAATCCATCATACTGAAGATCATATCTTGATATCATCACATGGATGACTAAAACTCAAGACCTGGATATTATTTTGTTACTGAACTTAAGTTGGTTAGTATGAGATCCTTCAGTTTATCCAGATGACTTATCTTAGGATAATGACCGTCCATCTATGTTTGGCCATTAATCGTATTTGCTAATGCATTTTGCATTGCACTTGGAACTTTGTTGAAACTGTGTTTGTATTGTTCAAGTTCTTGTAGTAGCTAGTGGTAAAATCGACATATTCTTATTTCTCAGAAAGAAGATATGTTAGTTTCTTAAGACCGGGGAGCAATACAATTAGTTGCCTCAGCTCAGTGCTGTGTTGAGATTCTTTTAATATAGGATTTCGTAGCTGCATTGGTGTAATGCTGGGTAGGAGGAGATGTATGTTTTTAGAGTGTACTGACAGCTTCTTAACTTTGTGTAATGATGGGTAGCAGGCAGATGCGTTCACAGCATTCTTATCAGCTTCATTTTGTTGAAGCCCTCATGTAATCATCTTTGTAGAATTCGCCTTGCATCAGTAAAATTCTTTCTATTGTCAAGGAGTTTTCTTAAAAGATGTGGTTTGATGAATGCTGCCTGGTGCTTTTTGTTCTCCTGGTTCAGTTTATTTCTCATTCATGCTAAATATCTGTGCCCAAGGAATGCCACCTTGACGATGAGGGAAGATAGAGACCATAGCTGGAAGTGATGAAAATTAAACATAAGATTTTGGACTAAATCAATGAATTAGTATTTTTCCAATTTGAAAGTTTCCTTCATATTTTCTCCTCTCCATTGTAATCTAAATAGCTTCTGCTCCTGGGTTCCAAGGTTCCATTAGAAGCATAAACATGACTGCACCCTGTTTTCTTCCAAATTTTCTTCTCATCCATTTTCTCTCTTGCGCTTTGAGCCTCTGGCCATTGCCCTGCTGAGGCATGCGTATTCGACAAGAGCACATAAACCCCAGATTCATTTGTCTCCAACCCAGTAGCCCTCTCTATCACTTCCTCTGCCAACTTAAAGTGACTTCTTAGTCTGCAACCCCCAAGCAAGGCTCCCCAAATAGCAATGTCAGGCTTATATGGCATTTCCTTTACTATACGTAGTGCTTCCTCCACCTGACCATTTCGGCTCAGTAAATCAATGAGGCAGCCAAAATGTTCGAGCTTTGGTACAACACCAAATTCTCTCTCCATAGCATAGAAGATTCTTTCACCTTCTTCTACCAAGCCTCCATGGCTGCAAGCAAAGAGAGCAGCGGTGAAAGTGAAGTCATTCGGCTTCAATCCTTCCTTTTGCATCAATGAGTATACCTTCATGGCATCTTCTGTCCTTCCATGAATAGCTACTGATCGAATCATAACATTCCAGCAAAATACATCCCTCTTTCCCATCTTGACAAAAAGCGTAAAAGCTCTATTTATGTCCCCGCACTTTGCATACATATCTATAAGGGCAGTTCCTAAAATGATTCCAAAATGAGACCAATCTTCTATCAAGTAGTGTGTCCACTTTCCAAACTCTAGAGCACCCAAGCGGGAACAAGCCGACAGAACAGAAACGAATGTTTGTGCATCTGGAACTACATCTTTCGATTGCATTTGGACAAAAAGATCCAATGCTTCTTCATACTGTACATGTTGGGTGTAGCTTGATATCATAGAGTTCCAAGAAACCACATTCTTGCATGGCATTGTCTCAAAAAACTTTCTTGCCGTTATAAGGTCACCTGCATTGGCATACACTCCGATCATCAACGTCCAAGAGACGACATCCTTCTCTGGCATCCACTCAAACAAATCTCTCGCATTACCTACATCCCTTACTTCAGCATAACCAGAAATCATAGAATTCCATGAAACAACGTCCCTTTCAGGCATTACATCAAACAGCTTTCTTGCACTCTGAACATCACAAACGCTGACATAACGTGAAATCATGCGGTTCCAAACTTCTACAGGTTTCACACGTATATCATCAAAAACCCTGCGGGCATCATTCGAAGTCCAATGATTGACAACAGCCGGGTCACAAGAATCCAACTTTTTAACATACATATTGAAAAGCGCATTAGCAACTGCTAGATTTGACCCGAACCCATGCTTTACTATATGGCAATGCACTTGTTTCCCTTTTCTGTACCAACCCATTTTAGTGCACGAGTTTAAGACATATGGGTAGGTGAAATTATGGGGTTTGAGTCCTCTAAGAGGCATTTCATCAAACAGTGAGACGCATTTCTCGAATGGACCATTTGTATCATACCCTCTAATCATGGCATTCTGAATCATAATGTCGTTACTGAGTTCAGGACCCAATTGGGAAAATATGAGATTGGGATACTCCATAGTTCCAAACTCGGTGCTCCGCCGAAGAAATTTTGAGAAAATTTGGATGTTTTGGTTGAGAAAGGTTGTGACAATGAGGGCATGTATTTGCTTTAGCTGTCTGAATGTGCATTGTGGCAATACTTTTGAGAGGTTGAGCTCTAAGGAACAAGCCATGCCTTGCATATTGGGAGCACACTAATCCAGTAGCTCTTTTGCTTCTGTCTGTTTTTCTTTTAATTACTTCTTTTCCTTTTTGGGTTAAAAGGGAAAAGATAAAAAAACAAACAATAGCAACCAACTTAGAGAGTATAGAATCCACACAGCTTTCTTATTCATTGAGAATGATCCTTGTCTTTGCTTGATCGCATTTGGTTTTGTCAACAACAAGGAATCCTGGCAAATCTAACTTGAAGTTTGGTGTGACATGATCAAGTGTAGTATCAATAATTTTGGAAAAGATTAATAAGGCAGACGTGCAAACCCTGTTTCATTTTCTTAAGATAAGATGTTGGAAGTGTATAGGCAGGCAGCTCGTGAAACAGCAGCCTAAGCCCCCCAAGCCAAAGGCATCATTTCCATGTGCCATAAAACAAAATTGAAGAGTTGGTCAATGAGATTACTTAAGGATACTGTAATATTTTTTGTGTCATATCCTCTTGTCCTATACTGTGTTGGCTTTTCAAGAGTCAGTTGTGTAAACGACTAACAACTTATTTAATATGGTTTTCCCAGAAACAAAACTTATTTAATTTGGATAGCAGAAGAGTAAGCAACCCTGGAACCAATTGATTTGTAACAGTTGACACCATCCACTTAAGCAGACAGCTTTATCAGAGAATACTTAAAGTAGATCAACGCTGTCTTAATCTCTGTCCTTTTTTTCATTATACTAAAACAAATAAGAGAAATATTATTAAGGAGAAGTTGGGTTTTGTATCTTATGTTCTATGTTAGGTTGCCAGGTTCAATCCCTAAATTTTTTTATTTGCAACCTATTTTTTTCTGATATGAAAGAAGCAGGAAAAGATGGACAGCTTGGTGTTTGTCCAAGTCCCACCAACACATAAGTCTTCGAATTCATTCATGGAATCAAATCAATTTTCTGAGATTAGATTCTTCTTTACTTAATTTCATACATATTTGTCATAATTTAGTTATCGCTTAACATTTGTAAAACTTCCATGACAACCAAAAAAACGAAGTTCTATAACAAAGTCAGAGTCTTGGAAGTCAAATTTTGGCTTGATGACAGATGATTATCGACTTTGGAGGAATAAGCTTGTATTGCAGCAAACAGAATATGAGATCAATCGTTGATATAAAGGTATTAAAGTTGGAGATAGAAAGTGTGCACAAGTTGTAGAATAAAACAGAATATGAGACAAAATAAAGACTGGTTTGCAGTTGAAGTTACAATAGAATTTCAGAAAAGAAAATCATGCCATATAAATTTTCTTTCCAGTGAATAAAATCAAAACAGCACCTGGTAATTTCAACAGTGACACAACACAACTGGTTTTAATAAAAAGGAAAGGATCATTACTGTCTAACCAACCACCATATCAAGGATAACATTCTGATGCTGATAGTATCTTTTGCAGGTACGAAGTTAATTCCTGAGGTCAAGGGTCGTGGGTTTTGGGGACATAATTGGTTTTTGTTGTGTAAAGCTGCTGTTATTATTATTATTACAACTTGGTGATTAGTTAATGGTGAGGCAGTTGTAGCGTGCGATTGCTTTTGTTGTCTTATCTCACGTTCTAACTTCTAAGTCTTTGTTTAAGATGGCCAATGAGTTTAATGTTATGAACTAATGAATGTTCTTATTTGCTTGCTGTAAACTGGTTTTGTTTGCATCGAATCTTCGAAAGAAAACACATGGTTTACGACCAACTTAAAATAAACCATCACTATCGTTAATGTGTCACACTCTCCTGTCCTGATTCCATTATAATGATGCAACCAAGGTTCAAGGTTTCAAAACCAAGAGCTACCAAGGGGAAGAAGACAATCTTCTTAAAACAGACAGAGTACCATATGATCCATATTAAACTATCAAAATCTGTGATTGGTGCAGATAATGATGAGTGTTTTGGGAAACAGAGTGCAGCTGGGATAGAAACTAATGAAGCAAAAGGGACTCTGTCTGTATTGTCAAGGTAGAAAGCTTACTTTTTTACAAAAATGAACCTTGTTTTTCATTTAAATGGTGCAGTTTAAATTTAATTGAACATATGGAGACTTTTAATGAAGTCAATATTCGACGGGGAAGGAATGAGTCATAACGACAATTTTTCTTCATTTTGATACTAAAGTGTGTGTATATATATATATATTTCTTGTAACTTAAGCAATGACTTTGACAAACAGGAAACGACAAAAAGTTAAACACATTTTAAGAATATGTTAATTAGTTCTTTCAACTTGATGATCCACTTGGAAATCACAATTATACAAACTTAAACAGGTTTTTATTAAAAGTAATTAAATGGTTCACAATGAAAATTAAGAACATAAATATTGCAGAGTGTTTAGTTGGCAAATGGAAAGATGCTGATGTGAGAGACACCGACGCAATTTAATTACTGTATGCCATTCCCATTGTTCATTGTGTAATGTAGGGCAAGCTT